CTTTATTAAAGATAATCTCGTTTAGTAGTCTATAATTACTAATAATAGTTTATAGGAATATATATACTAGCTCTTTTATATTACTTACTTCTTTATATAGTAAGAAGTACTTATATTTTATTAGTTTATTAGTAATAATAAATATACTATTATACTTAACGTTAGTTATAGGTTCTTTTAATAGTAATAGCTTTATAATATAGTTAAAAGCTATTAAATCCTATAGTTTCTTTAGTACTAGTAGCGGTTATAATTCTTTATTTAGTTTATATCGTTTAGCTTTACTTTATATATAAAGTTTATATTTTTTAATAACTTATTATACTACTTCCTTAAGCTATTAAAAGTTATATTATTGTTTAATCCGTTTTATTATTCTTTAGATTCCTTAGTATCTATATATTAAATATTTATATATATCTTATATAACTTTATCTTATAATTCTAGTAGTATCTAGATTTTATTCTTATATATTAAAACTTTTAAATATTCTATATTATATCCCTTTAGTACTTTATATTCTTTTATTTATTTTAGGATCTTTTAGTATATTAAGTTATTAAGTTATACTTTAAATATTATATTTAGCTATCGTTACTAGTAGTTCCTATTTTCGTTAATTTCTAAGAGCTATCCTTTTACTATAGGTGCTCCTATATTATAGTTACTTCGTTGACTAAAGGTATTAGCTCGACCGTTTTCTATTCCTTTTTTATAGATTATTTTATAGTCGAATTCTAATAAGTATTTAGCCTATTAGATCTATTATCTATTTAACTATTATATTATTATAAAGTATAAGATATTCTTATAATTTATATAGACTTTAACTTTATATTTACTTTTAAAAAGGTAGTATTAAAATTCCTTAAAAGCTTAAATAATTATAAGGAATTCTTTATCGTAAATAAGGTAATTAAGTTCTATACTATATAGTTTCTTTAAATAAAATATAATTAGTTATAGTTTTCCTTTATTATCTTTTTATCCGATTTATACTCTTAGAGTAAAGTTTAATATATTAGTTTTAAGTTCGATTTATTATTTTAAATTAAGGGTAGTTAAGACTAGTTCTTATATAATCATAGTCTTAATATATTTAAAAGCTTTATTAGCTTTATCGTCCTATATAAATTCTTTTTCCTTCTTTATTAAGTTATATAATAATACTACGATCTTTCTAAAATCTTTAATAAATCGTTAGTAGTAATTTATAAATCCTAGGAAACTTTATATATCCTTAATATTCTTTAGCGTTAGCTATTCTTTAACTAAGTTAATCTTATCTTATTATATTTATCTCTCTCTTAGTAAGATCGTATATCTAAGGAAGTTTACTTTCTATATATAAAACTTACTTTTCTTTAGTTTAACTAATAACTTTATATTCTAAAGTACGCGGAATACCTTATAGATATATTCCTTATATTTAAGAAAATTAGGATATTATTTAGGTATTGTGGGAATGTAGCATATAGCTATAGTAGGATTGTAAGGGAGGTGCGCACACACGCACACGTGACCCTTAGCGTCACGTGTATGGACCTCGGGGATCCGTGTATAAAGGGCACGTAGTGTGCCCCCTCATTCCCTTTCCTCCCTTCCTAGCAAGACATCTTGAATACAACCCATTGCGTTACTGCAGTACAGACCTCCCGACACTGATCAGTGATCGATTTGGTCGATCACAGATTGGCAAGGAAGAAGAGATAGAACGCAACCTTCGAAAGCCCAACTACCATATTCCTAGCGATATTGCCCTGGTTGGACCTAGAGGAGGTTTCTATGCTAAGATCAAGGACTCTACGATTACCCGGACCCGGCAACCAACTAGCTCCCGGTAGGCCATTGATAGATCCTTCCAACTTCACTTAACGGTTACATTAAGTGTAAGTGCGTCCACAACGCCGATTCGACAACTACGTGACAGCCCTCACGATTCGACAACTACGTGACAACCTCACAATGACAAGCACGACCCCAACCCCGAACCCCGCCTCTACGAGGAACGACGCCTTCCTCGACCAAGTAAGGGAATTGGTCCAAAATCTCACGATCCCAAAGACCCAATATCAGGATATCGATCCGACCCGATGGGAGGATGAGATCACGCCACAAGAGGAAGATAGAATAGCTGTTATGACATATACCGCACGATTTATGTCAGAATGCGAGGAGAACGTACACCTTCATGGCACTAATATCCTTGAATTCTTCCAGGATCACTTCCAACAGTGGACCGAGGCAACGTGGAGAAAGATGCCAAAGGAATTTCGAAGGAGCTACGTTACCTTTTAAAGAGACGTGGTATCTATACAGGAGAAAAGGGTGACCACATCATCCCACAGCTCGTCTTCCTACAGACGATCGATAACCCACCAGCCTGGCCCGACAACGAATTCATGGTAACCCAATTCGATAAAGGAACGGAGGCCTATACAAGAAAAGAGAGACGACTAACGCAGAACCCTCCCACCTCCAACACGGCGGAGCCATCCACGCCGTTAGCCCCTATTCCGACGCTCCCTGCTCCTCCCGCTACGACAATTGCGGAACCGCCCACAACGACTGCTACGCTTCCCCAACGAACAATACATCCTACAAGCTATCAGTTCCAGCAACAGAGCATCGTTCTAGCAGAACCCTCTTCTCCCACATCCTCGAAGCGTACACAACGCTTCCCCCGGCCGACATCCCGAACGACATCGTCGATGCCGACACACAACAGAAATTCACCAAGATCTGGGACAAAGAGAAGAACTATACGGGGGAACCCTATGACCTTCTCGATGATAAGCTACGCATCTTTATGAGTATCTGTTATAACATTCAGGTCAAGCCGGACCAATTCCACGCTCTTTTCCCTCGAATCCTTACTGGCCGAGCCCAAACGTACTACATTGACCACGTTAACTGGACCTCAACGTTCCGCAAGGCATACGATAGCATCAAGCAACATTTCGATACGGAAGTTAACCACGTTCACTACTATACTGAATGGACGACTATTTCCTTTAACAAGCTCCGTGCCGATAATGCTACGAAATCCCTACACGAGGTTCTTCAGCTACTCCTTGATAAGCTACAGTTATGCCAACGAGCTCTTGGCAACGCGTATGCAGGAAACGTTCCACTGCGTACAACGCTTATTAATGCATGCCGCGGTGTTCCTGAACTTGAATACGCTTTATTCAAGCCCGCCGAAGGAATCGAGCCCTTTGCAGATCTTCGCTCTTCCGTTGAGACCCATCTTGCACGCGGAATAGCGCCTCGTTATCTTCAAGGAGGCCCTCAATACCATCAAGACCTCGAGGAACCATCTGATCATATGGATCCCAATGACCACTACTATCTCGATCGAAGATACAACAACAATCGCGGAAGATTTGGTCAGAAGGGGTATAGAAGGTATAGAGGCAACGCTCAACGAGGCAGCTACAACGCTCCACGGGAATCTTCAATAGTCAACGCTTTAACCGCCCACAAGGCCGTTACGGCCACAACCACCCGTGGAATAAGAAGTGCTTCGTCTGCAATAAGGAAGGATGTTGGTCTACAAAGCACACTGCCGAGGAACGTCAAAGATCCCGAGACCAATACGTCGCCCACTGTCACTTCATAGGGATTACCCTCCCCAGGACCTTACAGCCTACGTTCTTGACTTTGAAGGTCACGAGATGGATGCCCACGATGATGCTAACGACCCTGGGACGAGGACGACAATGAAGATAATGACAACAACCCAGAACAGTGGCACACAAGCCAAATGCTCTGCCAGCAAGCCTTCAACCATCTGATCACAGGGAAGACGTGTATAGCACCTCTCAAAACAACGCTACACCTGCTTCCCAATTCATGATAGAGGAGCGCTACTCAAGACTCCGATTCCAGGGCATCATAATTGACACAGGCGCCGCGAAGGTTTCCACAGCTGGCTACGACCAATGCATCGCTCTACAACGAGAAGACCCTGCTATAACGCTCGATAAGACTACAGCAGGCCAAGCTTCTATCAAATTCGGCAACGGCGAAGCCATTCTATCCTCGGCTCTATCGCCCTTAAAACACCTCTCGGAAGGATCACATTCCATATCCTCAAGACCCCTACTCCCTTCCTCCTCTCTCTCGCTGATATGGATCGCCTAGGCATCTATTTCAACAACCTTACAGACACTATTGTCGGACGAACAACCCTCCCGGTTATCCGCAAATGGGGACATCCTTGGTTCCTCCTACCTAAGACCAACGAGGCCGCTATCGCATTCCTCACGGAGAGCGAGATCCGCACTCTTCATCGTCGATTCGGGCACCCAGCGGTCCCAAGACTTCACAACCTCCTACGGCAAGCTGGCCACAACGATGTGACGATAGATATCCTAGAGAACATCTCGAGATTCTGTCATCACTGTCAAATGCACTCTCAAGCTCCAAGACGCTTCAAATTCACCCTAAAGGATGACCAGGAATTCAACTACGAAATCGTCGCTGATGTGCTCTACCTTGGAACCCTCAACGCCCCGTCTTGCACGTGGTAGATACAGCAACAGCGTTCCAAGCAGCCAGGTTCTTCCTATCGATGTCAGCAAAGGATACGTGGAAGCCCTCCGAGCCCTCTGGATAGACACATATCTCGGACCCCTGATACTATCAAGCACGACGCAGGGACCAATTTTGCCTCCCTAGAGTTCCGTAACGAGGCAAAGCTTATGGGGATAACCTGCAAGCAAGTCCCTGTGGAAGCACATTGGTCCGTTGGAAAGGTTGAAAGATATCATGCCCTCTCCGCCGTGCGTTTGAGATCCTCCACGCAGAAATCGGGACCTTCACATCCCCCGAATCGATCCTTCAAATGGCTATCAAAGCCATCAACGACACAGCAGGGCCAAATGGCATTGTCCCTACGCTCCTAGTCTTTGGCGCCTACCCTCGAATGGCGTTAGATTCGCCCCCTTCTGCTACGACCCTGAAAAGGGCTGCCGCAGCCCAGAAAGCGATGAAAATGCTTCGTCAGCTCTCAGCAGAGCGGCAAGTGCAGGGCGCCTTACACACAAAGAACGGACCATCATCAACAGGCGTTATACTATCGCTCCCACTGCAAAGCGAGGTCCGAGTGTGGAGAGAAAAGCTCGGCTGGCAAGGCCCTTTAAGATTAGTGCAATTGATGGCTCCAATGTCACAATTGATACTATCAACGGACCCCAGACCTTCCGTTCCACCCTTGTGCAGCCTTATTTCCGCGACGAGACGACGATCCCTGCCCCGCTGCTGCTGCTGCGGATGATTCTGACATTCCTGTTTCTGATCCTGCGAGCGATTCTGTTCCTGTTTCTGCCCCTGCCCCTGCCCCTGTTCCTGCTCCTAATCCCCCGGCGCCGCGCAAGCGAGGCCGCCCCCCTGGTTCGAAGAACAAGCCAAAGACGACGTTCCTAGTCAAGAAGGAAGAAGATGCCTACCAACTAGCCATCAAGCTACGGGACGAAGGCATTATCACAACGCCAGGCACCCCCTTTGAGGAATCCGATAGCACGGAGATCGATGATCTATTGGTACGAGGAGTGTTTAGCTTCGAACGCTACAATGAAGCAAAGCACGGGAACCATCATATCTTCCGCTCCCGCATGGTCCGCGAGGTTAAAGGCAAAGAAACCAAACCATACGAGAAGTCAAGGCTCGTGGTCCAAGGGCACAACGACCAAGAGAAAACCACCCTATTGACGCAATCCCCGACAATTCAACGCGTCAGTCAACGGCTTATTTCTGCTATCTCCCCAGACCTCCTTTCTCACGGCATGACCCTCTCTCTTCGTGACATCACACAAGCGTATCCCCAGGCGCAGACCGAACTATTCCGCACCATTCTCACGCATCTTCCCGCCGAATTAGAAGGAAGATACCCGGAAGGAACAATCATTCGCGTTATTAAGCCCCTATACGGAATTGCGGAGGCCGGAGTCCATTGGTTTCGAACCTATCACGGGCATCATGTCGATAACCTCGACATGTCCACATCAACCTACGACCTATGCTTCCTAATTACGAATAAGGGACCTGATAACTTTGGGATTGTGGGAATGCAGACTGACGATACCCTTATGCTTGGCACACAACGTTTTTCCGCGCTAGAGGAAGCGGAACTCGTAAAGGCACAATTTCGGGCAAAGCCGAAGACAACGATGACCCCGGGTACTAGCATTGACTTCAACGGTGCAAAGATAACCCTCCAAGACACCACTTTCCACAACGCTCTACTGCTTCAACAAAAGGGTCAAGCAGCCAAGATCGAACCCATCGACATCAAGGCATACGATCGAGCCCAACAGTACGTGGAACAGCGTGCCCGTGGCGCGTATGTGGCTTCAATCTGTCAACCAGAGGCCTCATTCGACATCTCTATTGCTGCCCAGGTCCAAACCCTACGGAAGAGGATTGCACGACCTCAACAAGCGGCTTCAATGGCAGAAAGACCACCAGCAGCGAGGCCTAACGTATATCCCTATTGACCTCGCCAATGCCAAGCTTATCGTCTTTACCGACGGTTCCTTTGCGAACAATAAGGACCTATCGTCACAGCTAGGCTTCGTCATTGCCCTAGTCAATGAGACCGAGACCGCACGTACCAAAGACCAATTCGGGATCAAGGGCAATGTCCTCCATTGGAGCTCAACGAAGTGTAAGAGGGTCACCCGAAGCGTGCTAGCATCAGAGATCTACGGCATGGTCAACGGATTCGATATTGGGATATCACTAGCAACGACGATACGGAAGATCACAGACCGCCTCAATCTTCCCCCTATCCCCCTAATCGTTTGCACCGACTCTTTTTCCCTCTACGAGTGCCTCGTTAAGCTAGGCACAACGAAGGAGAAGCGATTGATGATAGATATCATGGCCCTACGTCAATCCTACGAAAGGCGTGAGATCACAGAAATCCGCTGGATTAACGGCGCAGACAACCCAGCAGATGCTATGACAAAGGCATCGCCTAACCGCGCCCTCGAACGCCTCGTCGATACGAATAGCCTTACGATTAGGATAGAAGGATCAGTCGAACGCCCTCCCGCTAGCTGCCGCTCGAACCGTCACTCTTTTCGCACCCTTGCGGTTGCTGCTACGCTCCCGCACCTGCTGCTACTGCTGCGATTGCAGCGATAAAGAAGATTTGCCAGTGTGGGAATGTAGCATATAGCTATAGTAGGATTGTAAGGGAGGTGCGCACACACGCACACGTGACCCTTAGCGTCACGTGTATGGACCTCGGGGATCCGTGTATAAAGGGCACGTAGTGTGCCCCCTCATTCCCTTTCCTCCCTTCCTAGCAAGACATCTTGAATACAACCCATTGCGTTACTGCAGTACAGACCTCCCGACAGGTATACTACTATAAAGATATCTAAGTATTCGTATAGGATATTATTAATTATCTATTAAAAGGTAGCTAGTATATTTATAAGTCTAAATAGTATTACTAAATATTTAAATAGTTTAAATTTCGTTTTAAAGGCTATTATCTATTTATATCCCCTTTTTATACGTATTAAGTTATAGGCGCCTTTAAGGTTAAGGGTAGTAAACTATTTTTTATAATATAGTTAATCTTATAGTTTTAATATAAATAGTAATAGTATTCGGTCCTTTATTATAATATCGTTTAAGTATCTATAGTCTATAACTAGTTATAGCTTACTATTTTTCTTTAAAATAAATATAACTAAGTAGCTTACTTTAGATATTAACGTTTATATATATCCTTTTTATAGATTCTTATTAAGGTAGTCGCGTAGCGTTTATAGTTACTTTTTATTTAAGTTATAAATCTTATAGAACGTTAGCGTTATTTTATCTTTAAGATAAATTTTATAGTCCTATTAACTATATTTGGGTAACCTTATCTTAAGTTTTTCCTTAAAGAGTTTATTATATTTCTGGTATTCCTAAGGGATATTCTTTATTCTATCTTATAGGCTTTATTCTTTCTTTTAAGAGCTAGTTTCTTTTAACTTAAGCTCTTTATTAATTTATTTAAGGTTTTTCCTTAAAGTAGTAATAACTCTTTAGATCTTTATATTATATCCTTTATTCTATTTATATTAGATACTAGGTTATATAGCTATATTAGTTAGTATATAGGTCTTATTAGTCGATTTTATTATATCTACTAGTTTAGTTACTATTTTTATTTATATTGCTAAAGCCTATAATAATTTACTTAAACGGTTATCCCTTTTATCTTATTTAGTAGCTAAATTATTATAAAATTTTACTTTCTCTTAAATCTACTAGTCCTAGAAACTTATATCTTTATTTTAATATAGCTAGCTAGTTCTTTAGTTAATTAGTAGGTTGCTTTCTTATAGCTATAAAAGCTTTAATATAAGGTTATATTCTTTAATATCTATAATATCGAAGTTAACTTATTTATTATAGCCCTAGATATTAATATTAAGGTAATTAATCTCTATATTAATAATTCTATTATTATAGTTAAAGGCCTCTCCTTCGATATTTATAAGTTTATATAGATCTATCTTATATCTCTATATAAGTTAGTAATAATTAATAACTTTAAGTAAAACGTAATTACCTATCGCGCTATAATCTAGAAATATATATATATAATATCCTACGATTTAAATATCTAATACTATTTAGTTACTATAGCTTACTATTATTATATATAAGGTCCTTAGATCTTATTATATCGTACTAGTCTATAGCCCTTTTATAGATAGTATACCTTATTTTTTACTTAGTCTTTATTTATTTTATTTAAGTATTCTTCTTTAATTTATTATTAATATCGTTTCTTTATATTTTCGTTATATAGTATTATATTAAGGCTTAAGAAACTAATTTCTTATAGCTAATTAAAGATTTCTTCTTTCTTAATACTATATTATTTATATTATACTACTTTATAGTTAATTACGTACTATACTTTATAATTCTATTTATTTTTATATTAAAGGTTAAGTTTTCGTTTAGTATCTTTCTATTTTTTATATAGTATTTCCTTATCGATTCTTCCTTAGTTAAATATAGCTTATAGCCTTTATACGTATTACTAATAATCTTTTAATATACCGTTATATTATTTATACTATACTTATACTTTTTATATTTATAAACTCTATAGTTTAGGTATATATATTCGTTATAATCTTCTTTATTATATTTAATTTATTATATAAGTCTTTAAAAGATTAATAGTTAAGATACCTTAAAGCGAGTAGTATTATACTATTCCTTTATTTTAGCGTATTTATAGATTTTATATATCTCTAAAAGATATCTCGTTAATAAACTATAATTATTATAGTATTTAACTAGCGTGCTATAATTAGGTTCTAATAATATAACTTAGTCGTTTAGGTAGCGTTAATCGATTTTCTAATAGTCTAGTTCTATACTTAAGTAGGGTTTTAAAAGTACTTATCCCTTAAACTTAACTAAGAAGGCGTTATATTATACCTTTATTTAGAAGTATATTATATAATCTAAGTAAACGTATAATCTTTATAAAATATACTTATAGTACTTATAAGTAAGTAGTATTTATAAGTAGTCTTTAAATTCTCCTTATAGTTACTATTCTTATTATAAAGCTATAAAGGTATCGACTATAGCGATAGCTATAGTATAGTCTCCTTTATATAGTACTAGTTAATATCGAATTAATATAGCTTATTAGTTTTCTATAAGAATTTAAGGTATTTATTAAGTTCTAATTTTAAGTATTTCTTTAAATTCTTTAAAGTATAGAGTATATTCTCTAATTATAGTATTTTCCCTTAATAGTAAGGGTAGTAGTATAAGTTCGTTCTTATCTTTTATTTCTCTAAGTATTTCTTATTCTTTAAAGCTTATATCGTCGATACTTTATTATTCCTCTTTAAGTTATTATCTAAGTTTTATAAGTATAAGGGCTACGTTTATAACTTCTTCTTTAAGCTTATTTTAAAATCGTAATATAAGAGGTTCGTAGTCCTAATTAAGCTTTAAGGTAACTTAATAGAACTTTATAGCGTAATCTAATACTAAGATCCTTTATTAGAGTTCTTAAAGTTTTTATTTAGCTTCTTATTCCTTATTAGTTATTCTAAATACCTTTATAATAGCTTCTTCGAATCCTTAGAAACTAGTAAAGACTTTATCTATCTTATTATCTTATTACGCTAGTTAGTTATTAAGAAAATCCCTTATAATAGGTCTAAACTAAGCGAGTACTATTTTAAATAAATAATTTCCTATATAAAGTACCTTTTCGACTAGGTCTAAGAGTTTAGTAAGGTAAAACCGATAATAGGCCTTAAGTTAAGTAAGAAAGTCTTAAAGCGTACTATAATTACTATTAAATAGTCCTAGCTATTTTACTTTAACTACTTCTCTAAGGTCCCTAACTTATCCGTTACCTCCTTTATTCCTAAGTAACTATACTTTATATTAAAGGGCGATAATCTCGCGTATTATATCCTAAGGCGATATAGTAGCTCTAGAGTTAGTTAATCTAGCTTACTATATAGGTATATTAATAGTTACGATATTACTTAAAGTAACGCGGTATTATACTAAATAAGAGCTTTTAACGTATAACGATTAGTATTATTCCTAAGGAATAAACCTATTAAGGGGTTTATATTAGTAGATATAATAGGGCGTGGTCTAAGTAATAATAAGTATATTATATTAGTAATAAGTTAGAGGTTATAGACTATAGACTATAACTAGGTAATTAGAATTAAAGATAGAATTATAATAAAGATCTATATTAAAAGCTATCGAGCTATCTATTTAAAGGAGTAAAAGTAGGTAGCTATATATACCTATAGAGACTATCCTTAGATTATAGGCCTAGCTATAATCCTTAATAATAGATTATATAGAGTATAGTAATCTTATTAATCTTAGATCGCTTAGATCTCTACGATCTCCTTAATCCTATATCTATTAGATAGTCGGCACGACTATTTATCCGTTAAACTATATTACGTACTTAACGCGGTCGACTATTAGCGGCCTAGTAGCTATAGTTATAATACTAGTATTATTCCTAAGGGATAAACCTATCGAGGGGTTTATATTAGTAGATATAATAAGGCGTGGTCTAAGTAATAATAAGTATATTATATTAGTAATAAGTTAAAGGTTATAGACTATAGACTATAACTAGGTAATTAGAATTAAAGATAGAATCGTAATAAAGATCTATATTAAAAGCTATCGAGCTATTTATCTAAAAGAGTAAAAGTAGGTAGCTATATATACCTATAGAGACTATCCTTAGATTATAGGCCTAGCTATAATCCTTAACGTTATATTATATAGAGCGTAGTAATCTCGTTAATCCTAGATCGCTTAGATCTCTACGATCTCCTCGATCCTATATTTATTAGATAGTTATACCGATTATTTATCTATTAGACCATGTTATATACTTAACGCGGTCGACCGTTAGCGGCTTAGTAGCCGTAGTCGTAATAGAGAGACTATACCCCGCCCTTAAGAAAGTAGCGGGGTACTAAGCCCGCGGCGGACGCTATATTAGTATAAGCTATAAGTATATATTATAGATACCGCGACTATAGATAATAAGTAGGGCGTACTTAGGTTATCGGTAGTATAAATAAATTATATTAGCCCTTATAAGCGCGCTTAAGGGCGTATAGACTAAGCCTAGTAAGCCTTCTTTTTTAGCGGGGTCTTAACTACTAAATAGTTATCCTTATCCTCCTCCTTATCCTCCTCCTTATCCTCCTCCTTATCCTCCTCCTTAGTATAAGGCGCGGCCCTAGCCTTAAGGGCGCGGATCCGGCCCTCTAAGCTACCTAGCTAAGCGGCGACAGCGGTAGCGTTAAGGATAGCGGCGGCGGCGGCGGCGGTGCCGGTAGTAGTAAGGCGGCGGCGGTAGAAGTAGCGGGGGCAGCTAAGGCGGCGGCGACGGTGCCCTTAAGAGAGAGAGAGTTAGCGCTATAGGGAATATAGGAAAAAGAGCTTATATACTTAGGTATAAGGGCGGCGCGCTTAAGGAACCGTAAATTATAATAGGCGGCGGCGGTAGCGGTTAAGGCGCGCTTAGCCTTATTTTAGTCCTTACCTAGCTCTATAGCGCTCTAAGCTATAATAGTATAGGTAAGGATAAGCGGCGTAACCTTATA